TTATAGCTAGGACTTCATCAACAATTACAATTACGATTACAGTTACAATTACAATTGACTAACAATTGTTAGTCAACAATTATTAATTGAATATCTTCTGTGTGTCAGGTTCTGTCCCAGCCCAGAGCTATTCAGCTGGTGTGTCCCAACAAAATTTATTAGGTATTGAAAAATTCAAACACTTTCCTGCCAGTTTCTGCCTGGCCATTGCCTTGGGTCTTCCCTCCCTCCATCCAGCTGTACTTAGTTCCAGGGAGGTCATATTTGGCACTGCCTGGAGGCCACCTTGGGTCCACCAAGTTGTCGGCTCAGGTTCCTAGGAACCAGCCTTTATACCTATCCTACTCCCCTGTCAGGGAGGCATGGGTATCAGCAAAGAAGATGGCACACTTGGTGGCACTGTGACACCTTAATGGAGAAATGCACAATGCCTCTTGGGCTCCCTGAGGCTGTGGCCACCAGCCACAGGTTGGCATTCCCCCATGTTACCTATGTAACCTCTAAAGCAGACAGTACTATTGTTTAAGACTTTAAGTATCACCCTTGAATAGGTATAACATGGAAGGAAAAGCAAAATACCATGGTTGCCTAGGAGAGGAAGCATCCATGTAGGCTTAGATCAGTCAGAGAAGGCTTCCTGGCCAAAGTGACCTCATAGAATTTTCCTGGGTTTACTGAGAAAAGGAAGTTCCCAGAAAATGAAAGAGTAAAATTATGGTGTCAGCAGTTCCAGAGTTGGTAGCAGAAAACCAGGTGGTGTTTTTTTGTTTGCTTGCTTTTTGAGATGGAGTTTCACTCTTGTTGCCCAAGCTGGAGTACAATGGCACAATCTCAGATCACTGCAACCTCTGCCTCCTGGGTTCAGGCGATTCTCCTGCCTCAGCCTCCCGAGTAGCTGGAATTACAGGAATGCGCCACCACGCCTGGCTAATTTCATATTTTTAGTAGAGACGGAGTTTCTCCATGTTGGTCAGGCTGGTCTCGAACTCCCAACCCTCAGGTAATCCACTTGCCTTGGCCTCCCGAAGTGCTGGGATTACAGGCGTGGCCAAAAACCAGATCTTAAGACTTCTAGCCACAATCACTTGGGATAGTATTGAAACATTCCAACTTCAGTCCAGCACAGATACCTGCCTGAGGCCCTCACTGAGGTCCTGCAATGACTCAGTTCTAAGATAAATATAAAGGCCTTTGTGACGGTGTCCTTTAAGCTCCAGGCTGGTTTCCAGAAGTTGCTATTCTTGCCCATGCAGGTGGATGGTCTCTCTTTCCTTAGTCTGCAAATACCACCTCTTCTTTCGCCAATTTCTTTGCCCACAGAAACTCCCCGTGTCTCACTCCCTAGCTACCCAACTCATCACTACCTGGTGTTATGACACACTTGGAATCCCAGAAAATTGTGACTAGAGAGGACCTTACAAGTTAACTGCCAACCCCTCATTCAGGGAGAGAGAGAGCTTAGTCCCACATGGTTGTGACTCGCTCAGTGACCATGAGGAGGTTGCAGCTCAGGCGTTCAACTCCTAATCCAGGGCTGGACCTGTCCTACCTCTGCTCTCTCCTCTCAGGTTGCTCCTCCAAATGGGACTGAATTCATCCTCTGTACATGCTCAACTTTTGAATCTCCTCTCCTCCAGGTGTGTCTACCTATCCCTTGGCTTCAATAACTATCCCAAACTTTGTCACGAAGTTTGAGGGTTCTAATTTTAGGTGGCGCAGATCCATGGCTTTAAATCAGTCACATAATAAGAAGCTTATTTTTTTCTCTGGATTCCTCAAACAGAAAATCTTGAGTCAATGCTGATGTGTGTCTCATGCTTGCCAAGCTCCTTTTTCAGCACGAAGTGAGGAGGGTTGGGGCTCCTGGCCTGCAGCAGACACAGTGCCTAGTAGGAGTGAAATGACATCTGATTATTGTATTGTTTGTATTTCTCTTATTTCATGAGTACCTTCTAATATTGACAGTTGATCTGGTTTTCCAAGTAAGCCAAAGAGAAATGGTTTCCACTATAAATAGTGTTAAAAGGAGGAGTCAACCTCAATTGAAATCTTAGCTAAGTAAACTTTAGATGTATGAGGATATCTGCCCTCACTCGCCACATACACTGGGTCCTCAAAGCAGTGATCCAGAAGGGAGTGAGGTTAATATAAAAATTCGTAATACCAATGAAGGAGGAGGAGAATTTGTACGATGCAAACTTCTCTTTGGCTCGGAGGCCATGTCTGTTTACTCAACCCATGTATAAAGATACCTTCTAGCATATATTTTAGTCAGCAAGTGTTCTAGCGTGGTGGAAATGATTTACTGAAACTTAGACCTTCTCCTGAAATCCAGCCAAAAATCTGATTTGGAAAACCAAGAAGTCCTATTTAGTTTCTGCTGTCATTGTTACTGAACCACACTGACTGGGTAATTAGTGACATATAAAGTTCTTTAATTCTCCAGTCTTCCTTCATTTGAGCATCATGAGATTGTTTTTCTCTCCTTCCCGGTCACTCACTAAGTGTTTGCTGAACTGAGTATTTGGTTTTTAATAAATGGAGGGGGTCACCTTTGTCCGTACCTCATTTTCTTCCCACGTGTGTAAAAGACCGTGTCTTCCATTGTGTCAGTGTTTCTCGGCAGAAGAGCGATGGAGGTTTCTGTAAACTGAGTTTCTACAGCTGGCAACAGAAGGTGGTCCGCAGTTATATTTTTTGTAGGGAAAGATATGGTTTTAGGTGACCACTCTGCACAGATTCTGGGAGGATTTCACAGTATTGGTAACCTGTTATTTTAGATTCTAAGTGTATTTGTAGCTCCAGAAGCACAAAAATAAACTGTGTTTTCTTGGAAAATGTGTGTGTCTGGGATATGTGACAGGAGTTGCAACCTTAAACAAGATTTCCAAGTGCTTACAGTTGAACCATGCCAGTAAAACTATGCTTATTTAGACATTAAAATCCTAGGGTGCCCATATAAGTATCCTAAACAATGTGTGTTACACGAGATTCTTTGCTAATGTGCTTTAGCTTTGAGTGTTCTTAGCTCTGGCTCCCACAGTGTTAATGTACTGCAGGGAAAGTTGAACTCAGATGGTGGGTCTTAGTTTCTGTTCAACGCATTTGATGGTGTGTTTCTTACATTCAAGAGAGTAGTTTCTAGTGTTGATGTAAGCTGCATCACAACTGGCAAGGTAGATTTCCTCACTCCTAATACTCATAGCGACGTGGAAGTTTTTCTTAGGCATTTAGAAGAGAGAAAAGGCAGCAGGTATACCCTTCCTCTGTGTATTCAGCAAGCATCACTTGATCATCCATTGTCTGCAAAGCAGTATGTAGAAACAGGGAAGACAAAGAGGAAGTTGGGGATCCTTCCTTCTGGAGCCTGAAGTCTGCTTCATTTCATCAGTGTTTCACAGAAAATCAGGGTAAATTGCTTCTTTTGTCAAAATGTGATTTTCAAAAAGTTAAAAAGCAAAAAACTCATTCAAGTATTTAGTAAGCACATGCCAAAAATTTATTTAACTCATTGACGAAGGGAATAGTGGGATGACAAAGCTGGTTTAAAGGAAGATATGAGAAGGATATTCAGGTAGATAGAAAACAAGAGAGAAAGGAGTGAAGGAAAAGAGAATACCAGAGTAAGATTGCAAAGTTAGATAGAAAATGGTTCATTTCCTACAGGGCAATAAAACAATAATATTTGGGGTTATTGTTCATCTGGTCAGAAATGTTTTGCACCTATACTAGACAAAAATTAAGTGTAATTTACCAGTTTTCTACAGTCTGTATAGAATCTGGGTCCAATCAATAGTAAATAGTAAGTCAAACAAAGTTATATTTCCTGGGAGTGTTAGATGACACTTAGGTGGACTTGTCAGTCAATGCTGTAGTACATTACTACCCAATAGAGCTTTCTGCAATGATGAAAATATGCTATATATGTGGTGTTTAATATGGTAGCTATGGGCCAGATGTGGCTATTGAGCATTTGAAATGTAGCTAATGTAACTAAGGACCTGAATTCTTAATTTTATTTACTTTTCATTAATTTTGATTTAAGTAACCTCATGTGACTAATGGGTACCATGTTGGACAATATAGCTCTAATATGCCATTAAATGGGCAGACACTCATTTTTATTTCTTGTTTCCAATTTTGGATAGTTTTTTAAAATTGTATTTTAGATGTTGTGAGAGGAGCTATGTAAAAGAACTCAGAGTAGACTCCTTTGAGAAAACTAACTCTCTCATTAAGCAAATAATTTTTCTTTTTTCTCTTTCTTTTCTTTTCTTCTCTTTTCTACTCTTTTCTTTTCTTTTCTTTCTTGTTGAGACAGCGTCTCACTCTGTCACCCAGGCTGGAGTGCGGTGGCACAATCTCGGCTCACTGCAACCTCTGCCTCCCAGGTTCATGCAATTCTCCTGCCTCGGCCTCCCAAAGCTGGGATTACAGACGTGCGCCACTGTGCCTGGCTAATTTTTGTATTTTTTTAGTAGAGACAGGGTTTCACCATGTTGGTCAGGCTGGTCTCAAACTCCTCACCTCAAATGATCGTCCTGCCTCAACCTCCCAAAGTGCTGGGATTACAGGAGTGAGCCACCGCACCCAGCCAATAATTTCTTTTATTGGGTAAAAATCCTCATATATTGGGTTTCTTGGTAGTGGGCTCATCTGAAATTGTTCTGGTCAGCAAGGGAGCCAGTTAGGAAAGCTAAGCCTGTTTGGAGGGAACCCAACTCTGGTGTTTTCCAAGTAAATCAACTTGGAATTAATTTTCCTTTAGCAAGATAATAATGGTCATGTCTAGTTTTGATTAAAAGGGGCTTTTGGGTTTGCAACAAAGGGAGAAGCTGTTGATATCTCACGAGGATTTTAAGGTTTATGTAAGTTAACTTTTCTGCTGCCATCACTTCATTATGCAAAAAGAGCAATTAATGCCTTGATAAGGTTGGCTTTGATTTCTGATTAAGCTCATTTGCTTTACTGAGTTTTCTCATCTTCTTGCTTGCTTGCAGGGCTTCTTCCGCAGAAGTATTCAGAAGAATATGATTTACACTTGTCACCGAGATAAGAACTGTGTTATTAATAAAGTCACCAGGAATCGATGCCAATACTGTCGACTCCAGAAGTGCTTTGAAGTGGGAATGTCCAAAGAATGTAAGTGGAGTCTCAAAAACCTTTTTCCCTTTTTCCTTATTTCTGTGATTTGCTCACCTTCCACAGTCATGTGGAATTCACACATGACACTAATGATATCTTGCCAAGGGTAGGTGTGAATCGAGATGACATGAAAATGGGGATTGATATGGAGATTTTGAGATGAAACTTGAGTGACAGTTGGTGGAGAGGCAGGAGTTAGGTGTCGTGGATGGCAGATTTGTATTCCAAAGCATTGGCTAACTCGCTGTGGATCCCAGAGCCATTAGCAGTAACTCAAGCATATCGCACAGTCACATGGTGACTCCATTTCCCCATCTTGACAATGGATATAAGGATCTTCGCCTGTATCAGTAAGGATAAGATAAAACGATAGGCATGAATGTTAACAGTAGTCATAATTTACCCTTTTTTAGGAGGGAAGGATTTGAAATATACAGGCTTTAGTGTAAACAGAGTATATATACACTGCAACAAATTTTGCTCTTTCTCTCTTTGACATGTAGAAATGTAGGGAATAAGAAAGTATTAGGTGGATGGCTTGGCTCAAGCAGGCCTGGGAATGTCATGGGGATATGTGCCCAGTGACGCTCTTGTGGGACTCCTGCTCTTCCTGTCACTCTATCACAGGGGGATTTTGGTGATGGCGTGCTGTGCACATGTGAGCAGTGGGCTGGGTGCTGCGTGGGGACCCTGGAGATACCCGAGACATGGCTACTGCCCTCCAAGAGCATGGGACAAAGAGCCAGGCACCCCAACCATGATCCTCTAATGGAGTTGGAGGAATTGTGCTCTGAATCAGGAGCTCTTAGATTTTGGAACTGGGAAACGTGACCCTTGGGTGAAATGACTAAAGAGGGAAAGCCCCTAGAGCCAGCCAGAGGCACTGCTCTGAGGGTGCCCAGCTGGGAACCTTGCCCTCTGCTTGGAGCTGTTGCTCAGGGATTGTAGCAGATGTTTCTTGGTAGCCCACCCAGATACCTTTCCTAACTGTACTCCTGCCCCTTCACCTTTCCTAACTGTACTCAGATTTTAGTTTTCTTTTATACCCTTTAGGTTTCTATGCTTCAGAGAAAACTTCAGGGCTCGGATCCACTCAGTCAATTAAAGCCAATCAGCGTATTTTATGTTCCAACCACATGTGTGAACATGTAACCTAGGCTGGTTCAGTGAGAGGGAATTCAAGACTCGTGCGTAGAATATCAGGACAGAAGTACCCTTCCCTCTGTGCATGTGAGCAAGGAAACAGGTAGCCACGAGTACCCTGGTAGCCATCCTCCAATCCCCAGGGGAGTCAGCTGTAGGACAAAGCATGCACTGTAGATGGAAAAGTGGAAAGACAGAAATCAAGCCCTCAATAGCACCATTGAATTACTGAACCAGCCAGCCCTGTGAAACCACTGCCTCCAGGTCGTTTTGTTATATTTGCCAAGAAGAACCCATTGAGGCTTTTGGAATGGACGTCTTGTTAATATTTAGAGTCCTCACGAATGAGAATGGACTGGGCCATCAGACAGGAAAGCATCCTGCATGTGCCATTCCTTCTGGGAAGCTCTTTTTCCCCTAGGCAGTTCCTTCTGCAGGTGATCGGTCACTTGGCCACATTTCATCCACTTCCTTTCCCTCCCTCTAAATTTTAGAGCCATTGAGTTACTCAAAATCCATACATTTGAAGATAGGAAGCTAACATTCAATTGGCTCAGGCTCTAAATCCTACCACTGAAGAGAAAAGTATGATAACCTGAAATAGCCAGATTATTCCTGTGTGTGAGATTCACAGGATGATCACCTACTGCTCCAGTTTTGGTGTGATGTTCTGTAGACATGGATGTCACGCAGCATTTCTGTGGGAGAATTTCAGTTCAGGCTGAAATTATAAATGAGTAAGCCAGATGTGGTCTCAGGGAAAATCAGTACTTTTGCATTATTTTGTGTGGGCTAGAGACCCATTTCCTGCTTACATTACTTAAAACCCATATCCTGCTGCTCTGTAAAAACTGGCAGCTTGGTTGGCAATTAAAAAAAATAATGTTTACACCCACAGGAAAACTCTAGCATCAGCCCTCAAGGAGCTTATCACCTTAATTAGATTTAAAAATATAGAAATGGGAAGAAAATGGGATCATTATGTCCAAGTACACAAAAATAAATACATTTTTGTTAAAAGGAAATTGAAGGGAAAGAAATAAACACTTGGAATATAGAGATTGAGAGTCTAATAGGATATTTTTAAAGTTGAAACAGAAGGAAGCAGGCAAATATGAGAATCAGTAACCAATTATACCACAGTATACGCAACTGAAATGAACCCAAGAATAATAGATACTCGTAGAATGTTAGAAGTGAAAAGGGATCTTAGAGATTGATTTTCACTCACCTCTCTCATTTGACATACAAGTACACTAGGACTCAGAAAGATGAAACGGTTTTCCCAGCTGTCCCAACTGGCTGAAGACATAACCAAGACTACAGTGAAGTCGGCCACCTCTCCTCCCCATGCCTTTTCTGCAATAGCAAGATTAGCAAGATTCACATTCCGTTCTAGCCATAGGACATGTCAGTTCATCTGTATGTGTCAGAATCCTTTAGATGAGAGTGACAGAAAACCCAGCCCAAGCTGGCTTAAGCTACAACACTCTGCACATGTCACTGAAAAGTCCAGAGTAATATGCTGGATCCAAGGGCACATGTTTGTTTTCGGGGCATTGTTTCTCTTTGTCTCTCACAGCTGATTTTTGCTGTGTTGGCTTCATTATCAGGAAGATTTTCCCCATGTCTGACAAAGAAGGGCACCAACAGCTCCAGGCTGATAATCTATTGACCCATTAAAAAGAGAGACTCTTAGATCCCGATTGTTCCATCAAAGCCAAGGGACAGATTCTCAGTGGCCTAACTTGGGTCATGTGCCCCTCTATGAATGCATTGCTTTGGGCGGGGGATAGAATGTTGTAATTAGCCAGGTCTGGATTATGTGTCAATATCTACAGCCCAGGATTGAGGTTGACTTCACCCAAACCATGTGGGTGGGGAGTGTGGAAGAAAATGTTCCTCAGAGAGGAATCAGAAAGACAGGAGGCAAAAAAATGTCCACCATGATTTGTCAAGTCCCACAGTGCTATTCCCAAGGCACTCTTCTTTATGCTGTGGGAGAAAAAAAGAAGGGTAAAAACTGAGAAAATTTAAGAATCATTATAGTAATAGCTAACTAGACAGGGTATTTTCTATGTGCCAAGTACTACTTTAACCACCTTTTTTTTTTTTTTTTTCCGGTCACCCAGGCTGGAGTGCAGTGGCATGATCTCAGCTCCCTGCAACCTCTACCTCCTGGGTTCAAGCGATTCTCCTGCCTCAGCCTCCCAAGTACCTGGGATTATAGGCGCCTGCCACCACGCCCAGCTAATTTTTGTATTTTTAGTAAAGATGGAGTTTCATCACGTTGGCCAGGCTGGTCTTGAACTCCTGACCTCACGTGATCTATCCACCTCGACGTCCCAAAATGCTGAGATTACAGGCGTGAGCCACTGCGCCCAGCCTACATTAACCAGTTTTAATGCTTTATCCCATTGATCCTCATAATAACCCTATGAGATAGATTAGTTATAATTCCTCCTTCCCAAGTCCCATCTTTTTTTTTGGCAGATGTGGAAACTGAGACACAGAGACATTAATTTACTCGAGGTAACACAGTTAGTAAGGGGCAGTGCTGAGATTTGGAACCAGGCAGTTTGATGAGAAAGTCTATATTCAAATTGAAATATATACTGCGTGCCATAGGAAGCAGCATTTAAAACTCCGAGTTCCTTTTTCCACTCTATTTTATTGCCAGTGGTTAATAAAACAATAACCATACTCCTTGCTCTATATTAGAGATGTATTCCCTAGAAAATCATGTGCAAATTTAATTTTTATAGATCAAATTTGATTTTACGTATGTAAGGGGATTTACAAGTAAAAGAAATCTTTTAACGTGGCCTACCAGCACAGTATGCTTATTTCTTCTTTTTTTTTTTTTTTTTCTGTTTTGTAAATACTGCTGGGTATACCTTGTATTTTCCAAGGGCTTATAGAACTAGGGCAGCCTTTTTGCAGAGAAGTAGCTGTCTGTCAAAGCATAGAATGTGAACATGGTAATGGCAAGTGGAAAAAAATAGATTTTTAGCAGCATTCTAAAGGTGGTACAAAAATGTACTAAGAATTGGAGAAGGAGGCAAAGGAAGCAAACAGACTCGAAGTTGAATGATGAACTTCTGCTGGTGGCGTGGGAGGTTTGTAATGATGTCAGAAGAGGAAAACGTGGCAAAGCCGTGAAATAAAAACAATTAATGAAAAAGAGAAACAATAAATGAAGGCATAACATTTGGATGATAAAAGAAATGTCCAGACAAGCTTATAATATAGATAATAGCCGATGGTCCATGATGAGAAAGAAGATTTAAGATGATACTATTTAGAAACCATGGGAGTAAAGCCCTAGCAAGCCTGATCATATGCATTTAAGTCAGTTAAATGAATTCAAATGAATAGTTCAGATCGTTAAGCCAAAGGTCAGCAAACCATTTTTTAAAAGAACCGGCTCTTCGGGCATGGTGGTGCGTGCCTATAATCCCAGCTACTCAGGAGGCCAAGGCAGGAGAATCACTTGAACCTGGGAGGCGGAGGTTGCAATGAGCCGAGATCACGCCATTGCACTCCAGCCTGGGCGACAGGGTGAGACTCCGTCTCAAAAAAAAAAAAAAAAAAAAAAAAAAAAAAAAGAACCAGCTCTTTTTTTAAAAAACGTTTGAAATTTTAGAAAATATTTTTGAGGCCCTGTGCAGTAGTTCACACTTGCAATCCCAGCAATTTGGGAGAAGGAGATGGGAGGATCTCTTGAGCCCAGTAGTTTAATGAGACCAGCCTGGGCAACATGGCAAGACCCCAACTCTACAAAAATTTTTTAAAAATTAGCTGAGAGTGATGGTGTGGACCTGTGGTCCCAGCTACTCAGCTAATCAGGAGGC